CCGCCTCGTAGCACGATTACTCGTAGTACGGGGTCTCGCTGCTCTTGGTCTGGCTGCTCTCCTTTGGCCTTCCTGGCATGGTTGTACCTTGTGGAACGAAGTTCCAGCCAGTGTAGCCCGCGGGATCATTGCAACACTCAAGCCTGACCACCACGTCAAGGTGGCAGCTTTAGGTCGGGTTCTCCATTTCGGTGATCTAATCTGTCTGACTGATAGCACATCAAGAGGACATAACAGACTGCACATTGAATTCAGCAATTATCTTTTCGTAGAACAGTTCAACTAGCGTCGCCACGCTGTTGGTTATGTTTTGCATTTTGCAGATACAGAGTGCCAATGCAAGATATGGGGGATGCACCGCCACACGTGGTCAAGCCTTCGGAACTTCTAGAAATAATGGACAGTCCACTTGTTTAGGTAGTTGCTAGACGCTGGATGACAGCTTCGCTGACAACATAAATGTCAGGACCGCCCTATTGAGAATTGCTTGTTTTCGATGTGATAGCCTGTTGCTGAGGGGAAGGTATAATACGGCAGACGTTTAGTGCTGAAGTTTTACCACGGCAAACGGGAGACAACGATGATAATTTGACTCTTACCACCGATAAATTCAAGCACTACACGTGTCAGGGGATTTGCGGTGCTGAAGAGCGACAAATGTTCTTGATAATTAATCAAATGCTTATCGGATGGATGATTTGGTCAAGGTGTATTGGCGACGCTGACTCAGTAGTTCGTATTCGAGGTCGTCATTGCCCAACCGTATTTTTCTTGTTGAAACAGCTTGAGGATAGAAAATGTCGCGCGATTCGGAAACAAAGCTTTGGAAGCGTAACTTTATAGCATGTGGTCTTTGACGGTGGGTTTTCAAGGGCCCACTGCTTGAACGTGTATTGGTATTCGCTCTAATGATAATGCCATTCATTTAGTAGTGCAGTCCAGTCTGTAATTTCATTTATTCGTCCGGTCGTTGTCCCATCTGTCTTCCACTGGGTGCTGTCACACGGTGGCGACATAAACCATGTCCATGGTTGTTCAACGGAACTGAACTGCATGCTTCGTACTTCTATTTTGACAAGGTCCTTTAAGAGGTTGTTCACTTAGATGCTTGCGGAACTAGAGATTACAACCTGTGCTATTTACTGGATTGTTTTATTTCAGCGACAGTTTTGTGGGAACGAAGGTGGCGTCACTTAAGGTCCACTCCTTTTTTTGATGACCGTGGCCTGTTCGCCACCGTTCGACAATTAAGTTTGAACCATGTCACCCTGGTAAAGGTAACCTATTGTGTACTATTGCACGACACAGTGTAGTGTAATGCCCTACTTCCTACTTCCCAACAATCGGCCGTCACATGACGTTACCAGCCGGGTCATCTCAGTTGTTGTATACAGCATGGTGGGTAGGCGAAAACAAACTAGCTTCAAGGTTTCCATTCTTTCTCTTTTACATACTTTTTCTCCCTATTCTCCCACCCCATCAATAACACTCCTTGTAGACCCATCCTTTGGAACTGACGATTCCGTTCCTCTCGCATCGGGCTTGGTCGGAACGTCTGTGGGTCAGCCCACACCGACAGCCTCGAAGCCTGGTCTATCTGGATAGTTATCATGTTCGCACTCTGGAAGAAGCGGGAGAACAGGTTGCACTTTGTCTTACACTATATCGCTTGACACTGACTTGTGTTGCTTATCGGAAACAAAAATTCAAGATCAAAGTACAGTCATTGACCTAACCGCCTCATCGTACTCCACTCACCTATATGGTTTATCTGGCCACGTCCGTAAAGGAACATCACAAGTAGGAAGCTGATCGTTGTCTGTTTATCGTGTCTGCTTACACCCCAACTTACTGTGGCCCATACATGATGAAAGAAGACTTTTGTGATGCTTTGGATGCCCTGGTATGACGGTCATCTGGTTAATTGTTGTGGATTAAGACAATCGGCAGACTCAGCATCTGAGGCTCATTTGGGTGGTCAACTTGGATCGGACTCAGGCCACACGGATAACAGCAAACGACTGCTTTAGCTATGTGCTGACAGCAAACTGTTTTCATGTAGTACTAACTCCCGAAATAACCGTAGTCTAGCCACGTGGTACCCTCCAACAGCGTGTCAGCGAAGAACCGAAATTGATCCCATTGCCATCAATTACCAACGGCACGGATCAGCAACCGACTGCCGCTCTTTTTGAAACACCTGTTTGAATTCCCACCTCGCACTCGTCCGGTGTCGCTTCTCTCTTAGTTTTTCAGGGCTGCCTACGGGACAGACAAACCTCTTGGAAACTGAAAGCTTCCAAATCCGGAAGTTAGACAACATTATTATAATCATCTGGAGTCTTTCAACTGCCCCGTCGTTGGGCATCAATTCGTACTGGGGCGAGATCGTTACATCTTTGCACACTCCGGGGAATTTCACCCGTGGCACGGAATTACCAGGTCCGTCCAAGTACTAGATATCAGGCACTTGAAGTGGCACTTGAAGAACCGGTTCTACCCCACCGAAACCTAATTTAGTGCAACGAACTCTCAGACATCACGTGAAACTTAACGCGTGCGCCGACCCCGGATTCTGGTGGTCAGGGAAGGCTAAAGCAATGGAAGGCACACAGAAGGCTGGTAACGTCCGAGGATTATTTCGACTGACCCCTACGACGGGTCTCCAAAAACTGCCTGTCAGGGAAACCGCCAAGAATTAAACTGGTGCGACGTTGATGATGATGGTACGCCGAATTGTTGTGTCCGAACTGCCAGGCGGTCTGTTGCTGGTGAAATGGACATCACTTCACCCTTTGGAAACGGCCCGTACAACTTGTCACATGGGGTTGATGGCCCCGAATTCACTGTTTATAGTTTACAGTAAAATGTTCAGTCAGTAACTGAATAAACATCTGGAAGGTGCGTGGCACAGTTCCCAGTACGTGCAACCAGCCAACGGACAATCGATAGTGCTCAGACGTTTTACCCCATTGACCAATGCCAATTGTATACTGAAAGATCCATCAACTTATTTGCAAGTTCGATTAAGTGCGGTCAGAGGTGACCATCTGTCAACATCCTCGGTTTTGAGGTTGTTGGTTTCAAAAAATGATGGTATGGCCGTTCTGGAATCGTTCAGGTTATCTTATTTATTCATGTTTGCAGTTGTTCGCGACAGGTCTTCCATTTTTCAAGATGTTTTTCTATACTCAGCGTCTTACTTCACCTGTAGGAAAGGTTGAATGGGCAAATCCTCTCGAGACAAACGCGATATATATTATCGCCTTGCCAAAGAAGAGGGATGGCGAGCCAGAAGTGCTTACAAATTGATGCAAATCGATGATGAATTTGGAATTTTGAAATCATCTGGTGAGTTGACGCTACGTTCTATATTGAAGTGCCGAAAGCGTCTAGAATCAAGCACCCTGAACATTAATAGGCAATATGTAAAGATAGCAGTGAGATTTCGGTGTACGTTGTATGTTACGGTATTTGCATTTTTATGCAGCTCTTAACTATGCTAACAATGAATAATGCACCTACTCGCCACTTTCGGCAGCAGATACTCTCGGGAAACCTAACTTCTTCGCTTTCAGGGTTTTAGCTTTTATTGAAGAAGGCAGCCCAGCTGTAGTACCAGGATCCATACAGTAACTCACTTTGTTCATTACTTTACCCATTTTCCATATATCGCCGTTTGTGTGCACGAAACAATTATTCGAGCGCAGCACTATGGATCGAAATAAGTGCTTTTCGCTCCGCAACACTCTCGGGGGTCTCGATAAGCCTCTCGACACCTCAAGGGTTTCAAAAAAGTCTATTATGCTAATTAATTTGCTGACCACCTGGATAATGCTGGTGAAGTCCAATCGTTACCATGATTCGACATTCAAGTGATGGTTTTCATAATTGGACACCTACGTGTGTATGGCCAGTGTTTTCGGTGGCACTCAAATTTAATGCGTTTGAATTTTCCGAAAGGCTTGTACTAAACCTTTTATCAATTTAAAAGCGCTCGCTACTATGTCACCACATGTTTGATGGATATAAGTGGTGTTCGCTCAGCTCATGTGGAATCCGAAGTGGGTGTCCTCGGCACAGACTAAGGTCTTCATTTAATGTGCTCCATTTCAAGAGACGGCCTACTGTACTAACGGTGAGGAATTTTCTTCAACGGATCAACTTTAAACCTTTTGGTTTACACTCAAGGGTACGGTGGAGCCTAAAGCACTCTACTGAAGGTTCATCCCACACAAACTATACCGCATATAGTGGCGCGATGTTTCTATCTGAATGGGTTATTTCTCCGTCACAATTTAGATGTAAGATTTTCTCAGTGGTAAACCCTACAGGTAGAGTTGTGTAACTGCTAGAGAACCACTTGATATCTTGTTGGCTGATGTTTTGTTACCTGTGCTTGAAAGTCGTCAGTTGCGGCGCAGTCTATTGCTGCCGCTAGACAGCTGATGTTTTTTGTAGCTTACGGTAACTGTGCTCTTGAAAAATTGGTTAAAAGGTATAATCGCGCCAATCATTTAATGAAGTTTACCATTGGGGAAGAAAAATGACCAACTGTTATTTCTTGATGTGCTCCTTAGTCTCCTGCAGAATAGGTAGTTTCAACGCACATTGTATAGAAAGAAAAATGGGGTGGACAGAACACCAGCATCGCCAACCTACTTAGGTGTCTGGCACTGACAGCTCAGAATACATGGTCGGAGGAGGATAGGATAGGAGGAAGGATAGGATCTCTCACACAACACGTTTCAAGATAGTACCTGTCTAATGAGGTTTACTGAACTGAACCCTCGGAAGCATCCGACAATAGCCATGAGGAAGAAAGGTTTGTTTCGCAACCTGATGTTCAAGGGTGAATCTGCAGTTGAGATACCAATATGGCGATTTAGGTAAAGGCGGTAAAGCCTTTCACACTGCTTTTATGAAGTGTACTCTTCAAAACCGTCAATTAAGTCCATTAAACAGTAAGGATAAGGTGCTGCCTACTCTTTCAGGTGCGTCTGGAACGCTAACTACATGCGTCGTACGATCCCTCGGTTCGTCACTCGCATCCCGCAGCACTACCGAAAACAGCTGTTTGCCAATACCACAGAATCAACTAGGAGGGCCTCACCTACAAATCTGATAAGGTTGCATGTAGGGCCTCTCTACACACTTACTTTCGAAGGACTCGAGATCGCTCAGTGGTTAGAGCACGCATTTACCGACCGAAAGCTCCGTGGTTCGTGCCTCTCGACTTCCCCTGTCTAGGCTTGGACAACCTGGCAGTATCCCAGCTTTTGTGCCTTTTTCTTGTGCCATGGCAGTTAGGTACAGCTGAACAGTTTTTACTTTCGGAGTAGCCGAATGGGACTGTTAACACCAAATCTATGTGAGCATTAGCCAAGTTTCTTTTACGGAACCAGCAAGATGCGCAGAGAAGAACTAAGGAACTCTCAGGTCAAGCACCAGTAGGATGTAAAATTGTTGTCTGTGCACTCATGGAAGCGAGTGCAAACAACGTTTTTACTCGTTCACTGCTCATCACGGACGAAAATTTTTAGTTAGACGTGGGTACTTCAATGTTATGTAACAATTTGTTTTATAAAAACAACTGCGAAACCGGTAAATGAATGACTTAGTAATGTGGTGAAATATTGGTAGCCTGGGTGAGTTTATTGGTTGTTGATCAGGTGGCTGTTGATCTGTTCGCCGAGCTTGGCAATTGGCTTACAAACGTTTCGTCACCATACGAGGAGACATCATCAGTCCGCACTTGGGTGGCACACTCGTATGGTGACGAAGCGCTTGTAAGCCAATTGCCAAGCTCGGCGAACAGATCAACAGCCACCTGATCAACAACCAACATGAATGACTTGTCAGCGCGACTAGTCAGGTTCCTGTATTTTCGACGAAAGTAGAGTTTATCGCTCCTCACCGGATTGCTAAACGTGTCAAAAACAGAAGTGTGCTCAACATCATTTATAGCTCAACTTGTCAGACAGATACACCGGACGCAATATCCTCCTAAATACTAAGAACCAACCAGCATGGATGATTGAACTCTCTTGATCACTTTATGTTCTGTTTGAGACATGAGATCAAAAAGAGCCTTTACTTAAGAAGCTTAGATTATTTTTTCTTCAGAACTACTTAGGTCACGGACTCGCGGTGAGACAGTTTTCATTACGGGATATAATATCAATAGTACAATATATATATATATATATATATATATATGATACCCTAATACTTCACCATTGTTCTTCTACAGATTCAGACCCTTTGGAGCGGGTAGTGGACTTATGTGCCGCCCCTGGGAGTTGGTCACAAGTTCTGGCGAAACGTTTATGGGAACCGAAATCGGCGGAGAACCGCGAAAAGGTGCTATGTGTTCTGGTCATGAACTTCATTTTAGTTATGCTAATCACTTTTTCCGCGGCCTTGTATTCATGCTGATCTATGTCTATCCTGTCAGTTCCCAAAGATGCTGATTGGCATGTTTTTGTGCCTCTGTTCAGGTCAAAATAGTGGCTGTTGACCTTCAAGCTATGGCTCCGATACCCGGTGTCATTCAGATCCAAGGTGATATCACAACCAGGAAAACACCTAACGAAATTATCGAGCGTTTTGAAGGGAAGCTCGCCCAACTTGTTGTTTGTGATGGGGCTCCCGACGGTACGTTCATGCTTGGGTGAACTTCACTGGTTCCATTCGTATTACTATTGTATAGCACCGGGCGAACCGCGCAGTTGCTCGTTTTTCGGTACCAATCACTTTATGCTGACAATTCTCTGCATTCCTGTCAAATAGCCGTATGCATATTTCGTTCTCTTGATTCATTTGTTCAGTCGCTAATTCCTGAGGTTTTCAACACGTAATTTGAGTGGTATTCTATACCGCAAAGAATCTTATAACCTCGATGTTGTTGGACAAGATGCTCAAGGTCGTAGGGCCCTTTGAGAGTATTCTTTTACTCATTGGAAGACGTTTAAATCTGCTGGCATTTATTGAAGAAGCATGATAATAAGTAACCTAGAAGTCTCCTTTGTCAACTACTATTCTTGCTTTGCTGTTTAAGGAGGGGCACCTTAGTGCGTGTCCCTATGACGATTTCGTCAACCTAGTGGTTTGCTGGATCCAGATGAGAAAGGGCGTATAACCTATATAGCTAATGATCATAAAGACAGATTATTACTATCTTATGGCTTACCGTTCGCTTTTTCTACACTTTTATTCACTGGTCATGTGACACGTTGAGCTAATCGCGGAGAGTTGTCTGAAACCTTTCTCGTGTTCCTGTTAGCTTACTAAAGCTCCGTCTCCTGTGAGAGTGATCTAAAAACCCATAGTGGGGCCCAGTAGATCATCAGGAGTGCATATTTGATTCAAACTGACTGTTTCACCCGAGACTCTCTGTTGTATCTGTTTGTTCCAGTCACATTAAACTTTATCCAACTCCTTGCGTATTTAAAAACGTACCAGAATATTGGTAGCTCGGGCACGTTCATTGGTGGTTGACCATGTGGCCGTCGATCTGTGTGGCAGTTGGGTTGCACATGTTTCATCGCCAATCGGAATGTCATCATTGGTGCGCACACCTATTCAACCTCCAATTCTCGTGTATTTGTTGTTTTTGTTGTTTGTGTTGTATTTGTATCTGTATGTATTTGCTGTATCGGTTGTTTCCGGTTGATTGACGTGTTGTGCCTGTTTTTCCTTTTTGTCCAGTTACCGGGCTTCATGACCTGGACGAGTATGTGCAATCTCACTTAATTCTCGCTGCACTCACAATTTGCTCGCGTATCTTACAACATGGTGGAACCTTCGTAGCAAAGGTCTTTCGTGGTCGAGATGCTGGACTGCTTGGCTCTCAGCTTCGGTGTCTCTTCGATGGACAGGTCACCTTCGCGAAGCCCAAGTCCAGCCGAAACTCCAGCTTAGAAGCCTTCGTTGTTTGCCAAGGATTTTCCGGTCCCCGTATGCTCAGTTCGTCTATAGATCCCGATCAGAGCAGTACAGAAGACGATACACCTTTGTTCCTGCAGTGGTACAAACCGGAAAATTTTGAGGAGGTAAGTTGTGTCAAGGCAGGTGGAGTGTTAACCTCGTACAGTGATTTCTCTTTTGACAAAACACCCCTGAGATCAATAAAATCACGCGAATTCTTCCTTAAGGGGGTTCGGTTTTTGTGATCATAAATGTGAATGTGTTTGAAACAGTCGTCAGTGCATCCAGGCTGGTTTGTTCCATTTTTGGCAGTTTATGAACTTGCACCCATTGTCTGAACAGTTACTTTAATTCACCAGAACGAATGGATTTCAGGGACTTACATGCGTTGAGGGATGTTATCCTGCGTCCCGATGTAGTTCTGATCAATACGATCCACCTAGTACCTCTCTGGGCGCTATCTTCTCTCCAGGCCTATGCCCATCCTCTGCGGGCATAGTAACTCAGAGGACACTGAATAGTTCATCATTGATTCCGCCGTCGCATGACATACTTATAACCTAATCTCACAGCTAATTATGCTGAAATTGCCATTCCGAATTTCCTTCGTACTGCCCAGTGTTAGTTGTCGAACTAAAACATGTACAAGTGAACACTGCTGACCTACAACGAGGAGCGTTGAATATTCAGTTCGAATTAATAAGTGATGTCCGAGTAGTGTGGAAAAGGGTTTAACACAAATCTACTTAGATTTCTTAAGCTATCCAATAAGCCAGAAGGGTTATCACCAGGGTATGTGGCTTCTAAGTGCAACCTACAGTCATGGCTACGAAATGCCCTTATTACTAGTTTATCACTATTGATGATGACGAGAATGGTACAGCTTATTGCTTATCGCAACTGGCTTACTGCAACTTGGTTTGGCTATTGATATCTTGTTCATTCGTTGATCGTCCTGAACAAACCCGATCGTTTGCCCTAGGGTTGTTGTCGTCCAATTCAGAGATTTGAAAAATAACGTTGTTCTGGTGTACTCGCCTTGTTTTTCGTGTGTAGACAATTCGAGAGACAGAAACTATCCATAATCCTCACTGCGGTACGAAGCTTGTTGTTGTCTAGCAAGTATTTGAACACTCTGTCATTCTATCGCTCGGGAGTAAACTCCGGCTTATGCTATGAAGCAGTTTTGTAGATTGGGATTTTGCGCATTTCTTGCGACCATTTCTGTTGAAGACCATAAGGATAGAGGAGTTTTGCAGTGCGTTTATTTTCGGTTATTTTTCAAACCAGGTTTCTGTCGTGAACAAACCTCTCCTTTTTGAGTCATCAAATATCAGAGGGTATGTCTAAAATGTAGCAGTAAAAGAAGCCGTTCCACACAAGTGTACATAGATCACTACTTTGAAAGTTCAGTTTCGGCTGTCAGTTGTGCCTACGTACCCGCCCTGTTAACCCGGCTTTTATCGACGAGGTCAGAACCTTGATTTAGCTGTCCATTCAGTTCCTCTTTGTGTCACATTTCCCTGGTAACTTTGCGGGCAAAAGACTAATATACGCAGTTTGTGGAGCAGGCCTTGCACCATGATAACGTGATGGAACTTTCTCAACTCGTAATTTTTGGCCGCACAAACTCTATTCTTACGTTGAAATTTGTGTGATCCAGTAAGTAAGTGTACTCCTAGCTGTGTGACCTAGGGAAGTACACGGGGACACCACAAACGCAGTCCGTTTGTCTTTCTGGTTTGGGTTGGATTGTAAGCAGCTGGTAGCCTTTTACATACCTGTACTTTTCCGGCAGTTTTCTAACTGATGCTGCTACCTTCTTCGTTTGTTGAGTGGTTTTCTCATTTTCCTTTCAAGTATGAACTTTGGAGCTATCCAAATAACAGTGGATACCTGGAAACTCTTCTGCCTATGTGCGATACTTTGTTATCGCTACTCTGTCCGTCTAGCTTTTAAGAACCGTGAAGCGGCCGAGTATGTTTTTCTCGAAAACAATCTATTAGGTCATTCGCAGTCGTAGGGAGTACTGCAGCCACACAGAAAGCAACATAGGGCACTAAACATTTATCTCCGATTGGGAATTTGCTAAATCTGGAAATGTTTGATTGACTTGGGCAACCTTACTTAGTTACGTTTGCCAGTCTCGATCGGTTTCATTTCACACCTGTCTGGTTTAAACGGTGGTGCTGTACCGCACTGGTTTCTCCCGTTTGTCCGCTGTTAATCACCGCCAGTTGAACAATTGAGCCATTGAAGTTCCTTGTCCTGAAGGAAAACTCCACCAATGCTAGAATAATTTTAGATAACTTGGCCAGAATGTATAGCGCAAAATTCAAAACCTGTATGTTGATCCCCCTTTGTCACTCTATATTGATCACGGAAGCTGTCACCGCGGATCTGTTGATGCAGAATCAGTTGGGTTCCGTCCTGAATCTGAAAGCCGTCATTTGGATGTATAGTAGCTTACCATTGACTCTATATACGTTATTTTAAGTTTCACCATCAGCTGCGAGATTCTAAAAGCTTAGCACCTAACGCGTTAACTAATATCCGGAAACTGCAGCACTCCCTTAATTACGCCTCATATTTTATTCGCTGCGCTGGAAATGACTTTGTTAACTGTATTCGTCTGGTGTTCATCAGGCTCCCTTTCCGCGTTTTTTAAGGTCACCCCGGAACAAAAGACAATTCTTCCTTTCGTTGCCTGCGGTGATTTATCCGGATATGATGCCGATCTTTGCTACGCCCTTGACGAAGACTATGTTCAAAGACCCCCAGTGCAAGAACCTATCAATCCGGTGTACTCGGACGTGTCTCGGCGTGCCCGGTCCGCAAAACACAAGGCGGAACCAGACACAGCAGCCGCGGAACCTTCATACAAGACAGAATTAGTAGACCAGGTCGTGACAGATCTGATGCGGGCGGTTTGTGTGAGCAAGCAGTGACGTGTTTCTGCCTTCTTAAATATGTATATTAATTGAATAAAAATACTAACTGAGTAATCTTCATGTTCTGTGAAGTTTACCCACCCTTTTTCACAGCAAATGATCGGCCTTTCATTTTGTGTTTTCTTTTATCCGAAGTTACCACTGACCATATTATTGGTGTCCTTTTGTCCCTAATAATGAAATGGACCGAAAAATCCACATTTACTTTTCTTTTTACGTTATGGAATCAACTGATCCCGTCAATAACAAATTGATGATCATGTTCACGAGCTGTACCACTCAGTTCAGTGTGAACTCAGCTATGGTTATGGTGATTCTCATACTCCTGTGGTATTTTGTATGATGACTTGTGAGCTGTTGGGACAGACCAGTTGGTCAAAGTTATACGGAGCCCACATTCACGTTACAAACTGTCGTACTACTGCCCGGTTATCCTCAGTTATCAAACGCCTGCAGGCAGACAGTCTTTTGGCGGGAGCCAAAAATGATCTTTGTATGGGGGATGGTTTTTATTTTTCCTTAGGAACTGGGCTGGACATCGCTCAGTGTTTAAGGCCCGAACTTACTAATCGGAAGGTTTGTGGTTCGAATCCGACCTCGACTGCCCCTGTTGAGACTTGAACAACCTAACAGTATCTCAGCCCTCGTAATTTCTCCAGGTGGCATGGCGGCTGTGTATCGAGAGGAGCCTACTGCTGAACGATTATTATTACTCAAAACTGAGCATCTGCCTCGCTTAATTCTGTGGCTCTCTGCCGCTAATCTTTTAATCGCTTATTTGACCTTTTGTACACACCTATCACACAGTTATTTCGGTTTTTTCCAACGCTTGCGAGTGGACCTATCACAATGATCGCCCCCTCGGGGCACTGTCTGAAAGTCGATTGTTTGGTAGTGTTCTAAATATATTATACTTATATCCATCAACGATCACAGCTTTGTAAACCGGAGCGTGGGACACCAAAAAATCGTTATCTTTAATAGCTGTTCGGAGTACTGCTGCGATGAGATATTTCTGAGAGGTATTTCTCTAAGTCTCACATTTGGCACAATTTCATTCGTGTTGAAATAGTCTTTTCTGTTTTATTTTAATCATCCATCTGGCTGAACTTCTTGCAGCAAGTGAAACAGAAACATGGTTTTCGTCGCAAGTTGTCACCTAATTGGGATTTCAAGCTATACTGTACCGTAAAGTTATTTATGGCTTAATTATTAATTGGTGTTCAGATCATTTTGATTGGCTTTTTGTATTTTTCACGGGCATATGATAGTTCGGCTTGTTTTGATTTGCCTAAAAACGCAGTTGTTTGAAGTATCTATCAGGCGAATATCAAGACATTTGGGTGAATTTAGCCCGGCCTAAAGCTGCTACCGTAACGTGGTGGTCGGGCTTGAGTGTTGGAACGATCCCACGGGCTACGCTAGCTGGAAATTCCTTCCACAAGGTGCAACCATGCCAGGAAGGCCAAAGGGGCAGACCAAGAGCTGCGAAACCTCGTACTACGCGTAATCGTGCTAAGACGCAGTCTGGAGGTAAAGTCACACTGTCGTCTGCGACAGGAGTGTAAAGACAGTAAGGCATTTCTCGCAGATGACTAGCATGCACATATGGAAGCAGCAATTAAACGTTTTTGGGCTATTTGACTGCCAGTTATCTGACCGATGGGCCTCATGCACCCCGCCACCAATTAAAAATGGATAAAGTAACACCTTGCTCATTCCACGAGATTTTATCTACGTAGGAGCTTTTAAGTCCGTACTCTCCAGTTATCTGACCGATGGGCCTCATGCACCCCGCCACCAATTAAAAATGGATAAAGTAACACCTTGCTCATTCCACGAGATTTTATCTACGTAGGAGCTTTTAAGGTCCGTACTCTATGCCAAATTGGCAAACAGGCAATGCTCACTGAGACTATACTTACTGAAAATTGATGTATGATGTGCCTCCGAAACAAATCTGATGCAACTCAATTGCGCGCGCACGGTTTACAGCGGCATAGTTTAGATGAAATACGCAAACAACCACGCAGCTGGGTATTCCAGTCCGTATATTTCCCGGTCGCAACGTGTGAAGGCAAGCCACTGTACCAGATAAGCTGATTTCCGGTAATGACTTTCACTGAAGGTGATAGAAGTACCCTTATGGTCATTATCTTGTCCAGCATACAGGTTTGCCGTTGAAGGAATGTTGGATTCAAACGGCTAGATGATCCAATCTCGCTGAGAACGCAACCGTATGCAAAAGATACCTAATGGGTACGCATGGGTTAACTATCAGTAAAGGGATCCGGGATTACTGAGACTTGCGATTGTTCTTTCTAGAAGAGAGACACCCACTTCATGCTTTGTCGGCCTTTGTTTGTAGTCGTTCTGGTAGAGGGCTTCCAACATCCCATTGGAACAGCTGGAGGAACCGAAAATCGTTTTGAATGCGGGACTGTTTCTTATACCGGAAATCTCATGGAAGAAGTAACCCTATTTGCTCGTTTACTAGTTAGCTCTCGAGTGCTACTTTATTCACTTTTGTAGGCAGTCAGGAGCCATGTAAGTTTTATACTTGTTTGGATCATCTCTGGTTGGACTATTTGAGGATTCTGTCAGCTTCCGTGCTAATTCCCGTATAAGATTTTATATCTGGATCCAGGTATTTTGGGAATAGACTGTGAAAACTCTCCACCGGCTACTTATAAGACACCGTCTTCTCACTATCAACATTAGGAATCTGCTCGCACGGCATGAAGTGGATGATAAATGGAAGATAGAAACTACGTTACTGGGAATCAGCTTGACCCCGGTTGTAACGACACTGTTGGCGTCAATTGTGCTTCGTCGCCTTACGGTGGCTCGTGAGATACTGAATCGAGAGCAGCAAGCGGGATTTCGGCCTGGTAGGGGTTGTGTTGACCAAATCTTCACACTTCGTCGGGTGCTAGAACAACGCCATACGTATAAGCGACCCACGATTCTAGTATTCCTGGATTTCCAAGGCGCATTCGACTCGGTTGATCGGTCTGTCCTTCTTGAGACGCTCGCCCACCAACGAATGCCCCGGAATTTTGTAAACATAATACGTTCTTTGTATTCTCAGACTTGCGGACGTGTGAGAGTGTACGGAGAGCTCTCCAAAAGCTTCCGTACACAAAGTGGTGTCCGTCAGGGATGCCCACTCTCTCCATTCCTTTTCAACTTTGTGATTCAATGAAATAACGAGACGAACGCTGGAGGGTCTCCAAAACCCTGGTGTTCAAATGGCCTGTGAAGAAAACCTTGTCGATCTGGAATATGCAGACGAC